TGAGTTTTGAAAAATCGCATTTTGATGATTTCATAATGGCGTCACACATTTTTCAAGTTTTGTGCGAATTCCTCTTGCCTAACAGACCAAATGCAAAAAAGAATTTTGCATTTTGCATGTTGCGTTCGGGAGATATGGCTAAAAGGTCCAAAAAATCAAATATTCATATAATATCTCAGGATGACGTCACCATGACGTCACCTCATTTTTAATCTATAACACATCCTGGTATAGCCACATACCAAGTTTCAACCCAATCGGACTTACATTTCTGTAGACATAAGACTTCACAATATGCACGTACATTTTCAAAAATCAATAAAAAATTAGGTGATGACGTCATCGTGACATCGTGATGTAATAGTCTTGGCATAATTTTTGTATGAGGGTCTTCCCTGGCTGTAACTTTGATGACGATTCCAGATCGCCAAGTTATAAAAATGGTGAATGGAAAACGTGTACAAAGTCAATGGGTTAAAAATTCCACAGCCGAAAAACTGCACCTTTAAATACGTGATTTGCCTTTAAACTGAAACATTTTTATAAAATGTTACTTGCTATTCTAACTCTTGGGAATATTTTCAATCAAATGACAGGCGTAAAAAAAATACGATTTCTTTTTCATTCTCATAGTAATTCTCGGCCGAAGTTCAGAACAACTCAGTAAGATATATCAGTGTTGTATAGGGAAAGACTTGTGGAGAAAGCTGTGTACAAAGTCTAAGAGAAAATTTAATTATTCAGAAATCCATATTAAATCACTTGATGACGTCACCATGACGTCACTCTTCGGGACACATCTTGGCTATAGGGACTATGCTTATGCCAACTGTCAGTGATTTCTGACAAAGATTAATGCCAAAAGTGCTATAATACGCATATAATGCGCATGCATAGACAGTGACGTATTATAAATGTCGAGATTTTGAAGAAGGAAATACATGAATTGATCTGCATGATGCGTCAAATGTAAAATACCCATAGGCGGGCCTCATGAGGGTCACGGAAGCTTGTCGCGTGACTATTTTCTGTCAGATTCTTTTGAGGAGAGGGGGGGGCGGGAAACCGGATCTTTACAGTGTAGTTTTGAGTGACTGCCCTTTTTTAACCTTGGCATAGCCGTAATATACAGTGTTTTCCATTGTTTTGCCTTACTTCCAATATGTTGCCTGAGTTCAGTGTTGATGGCTGTCTGGCCTAAATGCTCAAGAACAACTGACGAGAGGACACGGATTTGTTATTATTATTTTATTTTTTTTTGGTTGGGGGTCTTTTGGGCACTGATGAAAGTCATTGTAAGACTTGTTGAGTAATTTGGCACAAACCGACCGCTTTAAAAGTGTAAGAATTCTGGACAAATATTCTCCTCGATTTTGTCTTCTAAACCTTCTACACTGATTGATCTTAAGGTGTCTATATATTTCTATGACGTCATGATCCTGTCATCAGGTATCAAGTTACAAGTGATCATAATTTGGAAAATAGTAATCTTCATTCATATATAGCTATACCATACAAAACGAACACTCATTTCCCCTTATGATTTAAAGAACATAAATTAATAAAATTTGGGAGACCAAAAATGTTTGAACTTGTAACACGAACTCATCGAAACAAAATCTTAGATCTCGAGGGTCAAGCATCACCAGACCTGCAAAGTTATCAATACCTTGTCTTTGACGTGTATGGTTATCGTTGAGATATTTGTCTGCACGTCTACCTCATAAAACACACCTCGTACACGTTCATCACTGAAAAAAAATCAAACTGAATTTTCTTTCGAACAAATTGTAACTGCCCTTTCTTAACCTTGGCATAGCCGTAATCTAGAGCGTTTTCCATTGTTTTGCCCTCCTTCCCATTTGTTGCCGGATTGCAGTGTTGATTGTTGTGTGGCCTAATTGCTCACGAAAAAGTGACGAGAGGAACGAATTTGTTAATTTGTTTTGTCTTTTGGGCACCGATGAAAACCAAAGTAAGACTTCTTGATCAATTTGGCACAAACCGACCGCTCTGGACAAAATTTCTCCGCGATTTTGCCTTCTAAACAGTATATGGTATAAACCTAAAACTTTGACCAAACTTCTACACTGATTGATCTTAAAGGTGTGAATATATTCTTATGACTATCAATATATTCTTATGAATTTGTCATCAGGTATCACATTACAAGTGATTATGCTTTAGAGAATAGTAATCTTCATTCATATAGCTTATGTACCATTCCAAACGAACAGTTATTTCCCTTCATGATTTAAGGACTTTACCTTAATTAAACTCTGGTTCACTAAAATGTTTGAACTTGTAACATGAAATCATCGAAACAAAACTTTAGACCTCTGGGTCAAGCATCACCAAACCTCCAAAGTTATTAATACTTTGACTTTGACGTGTATGGTTTTCGTTGAGATATTTTTCTGCTCTCCTATTACATCAAACACACTCATGTTCATGTGCATAACTGAAATATAAAGTTGAATTTTCTTTCGAACAAATTACAACTGCCCTTGTTTAACTTTTGCATAGCCGTGATATAGTGTGTTTTCCATTGTTTTGCCTTCCTTCCATTTTTTTGCCGGATTGCAGTATTGATTGTTGTCTGGCCTGAGTGCCCACGAACAACTGACGAGAGGAAACAGATCTCCGTGATTTTGTCCTCCAAACAATATATGGTATCTGTGTGTCCGATGTGCCTGTTGCGCCTGCTTCGGCAAACGCTTCGGCAAACTTCGGAAATTTTCGGGAAAAAAGGAGGAATTTCTCCCGTTTTAGTCACGTGACGTAAAGCTACCGACCTAAGATTCATCAGGAATAGTCAGAATCTGTTGGTCTGGGAACCAGATTGTCGGCTGTTACAAGCACACGTACGGAACCTACACACTCGCAGCGAAGTGCAGCAATCGGGTCACGCCTTGGGTAACACGGGTTCTGCGAGAGAGATTTGAAGGAGGAAATACATGAATTGATCTGCATAACTCGTCAAATGTAAAATACACAAAGCTTAGGCGGACCTCGTGAGGGTCATGGAAGCTCGTCGCGTGACTTGTTTACTTTTAGTTTCAGTTTTGTAACCTTAGGCAAAGCCGTATTAAAGAGTGAACGTTTCTATCGTTTTGCCTTCATTCTCACGTTTTGCCGGATGTAAGTGTTGATGGTTGTCTGGCCTGAATGCTCACAGACAACTGACGATGGGAAACAGATTTTTTTTTTTTTTTTTGGCTTTTGAAATCTTAAGCGAAAAAGTGACAGATGAATGATCGAAACTCAGAATCTTTTTGCCCCTTAGGAATCACTTTACAAGGAAAAGTAACTAATTGAAATTTTTCCCACAATGAATTTGTAAATATTTCTCTTAATTAAGCGCTTAAAAAAAGTTAAACTTGGCATCTTAAAAGAGGAAGTGCCTGATTGCCATTTCGTATGGTTTCTCTGGGCGCAGTCAAGTTCCCTGTAGATAACTTATAAATAGCGCACGTTCTATGTGACTGAAAAGTACGTGGTACACGTTCATCCCAATCACATGACCGATGATTGATCTGCCATCTCGTTTCCTGCTGCCAACATCTGCCAACAAAGGTGAAATATCCCATGTTGGCTGCCTCCATGAAACGTGCTAGTTGCTTTTCATGTCAAGGCCGAGCGGTTATACATGTGTAGTTGTTTTGGAATCCGTCCAGACAGATCTTGCTCACACGTATAGAGGGCCTTTAAGTAATCAATGCCTCGTAGGTTGTCATGTATAAGTTGCAATTTTACCTTAACCTACATTCTTGAATTCTACTTTACACGAAACGGAGGTCAGATGTGCGAAACATATTGTTCAAAACAGAACCATGACGGCTCCACAAACGAAGGCATGGTACGGTCAAATTAGAACATGCGGGGAAGATTCCGTTTCCCACCCTTGTTTCTTTTCGGGTTTTGTTTTCTCGGAGATAATAATTTAGTTTCTTTAGTGGCCTTAGCTCTTCTTTATCTTTATAATTTATGAAAAGAACTAAACTGTTACAAGCTGCTCATTGACTGGATTGACCTGCATTATGCAGATCAAAACATTAAAATGGCCGTTATGTTTTTTAAATCTGTATATTTTATTAAAAGATTACAATATAGCCAACCTACACGAAACGTTTAGGCTACAGCCTGTGTACATGTTTTATTTGTTATATATTTCTATTTTTACCGTCGTATCTTAAGATACAGCTATTTAATGTAAACAAAAACAAACTCCCCATTCCCCCCCTCCAAAAAAATAAACAATTTCTTTGATTTTCCTTTAGATTTTGCATTTCATTTCTTAAAATTTTTCTTTTCCTCAGACTGTGTATTTGTTGTTTTTCAAAAAATTTCAGAAGATTCTACAAGCCAGCCAACTCAGTGTGCATAAAAATATATAGAAAGGCATAAAAACATATGTCTAGACCGCAAAGGCCCAGATATATTTCCCCAGATATTTCTTTTAATAAAATCCTGTTTTGTATTGTTTGTTTGGGGTTTTTTTTGGGGGGAGGGGTGTTTGGGGGATTTCTAAACCTACTATGGGGGGCTTCGGCTCGTTCACATTGGCTGGCCATGGTCAATGAGGTGGTCCTCAAGCCCAATTTAAAAGCTGCGGCAGTTTAATATTGGGTTTTGAAAAGCATTTGATCATCGTGAAACATGTTAGGTTTTAACATTTTCATTAGGTGATTGAAAAACACTCGAATTGTTAAAAAGAAAAAAAATGTTAGGTATTTAGATGTTCATTCGGATTTTGAAAGCATTGGGATCGTAAAAAAAATGTTTTACAATTTTCATTCGGTTTGAAAAAAAATACGTTCCGTTTTACAAAAAAATGTGCTCCAATCTTTTTTATTCTAATTCTGCTCCGTAGTTGACCTGTCTTTAGTCCAGTAGCATAGGCTCATGCCTGATGTAGCCCACATAAAACTGTTCAGATATTGTCAATTAAATGGGTTTCTTTGATATACCGTTTTGTACTTGTTTTCCCCCAGATACTTGAAGTAAGCCTATTTTATACCGTGTTCCCGCGAATGAAGCGGGCCATCCATCAAGATGGTATCGCTGGCACGAGGAACCAACCTCCGGCTCAGTGTCACCATGATGAAGCTCGCTCTGGTCCTGTCCATTAGCACCAGCTTGATAAGTCCAGTCCAGTCCAGTTTCATCCGGTTTAAACCAGACACCGAGTACATCTATACTTTCCACTCTTCCACGGATCTGAAGAAGGTCCGAACACTGCACGCCGAGTCTCAGGTATCGGCTAATGTGTAAACTCATGACTTCACATGGGCATTACATCCAGAAAAGCGTATTTGAATACTAAACGCGTTTAAACGAAATTATTTTGAAAGAACATTTGAAAGTAGATTCATAAATGCCTGAGAAAGTTTTCCATTTCCTATTGGTCGAGAGCCGCAGCGCGTCACTGGGCTGGTCTTAAATTGATGATAAAGATCTGGTCTTAAAACACTTTTCCAGTGATGACTCCTATAAAGTCTGCTAAATGTTACGCTTTTAGTGGTTGAACGTTCAAGATCTTCACTTAGACTGCGCATTATTACTAATGAGTCTGTACTTCGAGAGTTCTAAATTTAAACTACACCGCCGCCGCTGCGTTCCGGGCCACTTGTATACACGGGAATCACTGAACCCCGACACGGGAATCAATGAAACGGCTATATTTATTGTGTAAAGTTGCCAGATCGAGGCTCTGCATGCCTATGGCGGAAGCATGCAAAGAGCAAATATTTAATGGGAGACTAGGGGAGGTTCTTATGGTCAATTTTCAGGGCCAGCCTTAGCGCAGCTTGATGGATGCCGCAGCCCACGCTCGCACATTTTGTATGCACAATCTCCGGTCAAAGTTCTGGACTTTCATGCAACATAGACAGAGCTAATTGTGCACTTGCACTTGTTAATTTGCGGCGTACGTAGGAGTCCCCGAATGTGGATAAGCTATAAGAGAAGGTTTTCAGTGATATTATAATGTAATTTGATAAAATAAATAATGAACAATAAAAGTCAGCACAAATTACTTGAAGAACATCTTTAGCAATATTCTCTTGGAATCTTCAACGATTCATAAAATGATTACTATTGAGAATGCTGCATTCGGCCTCCTTCGTACGTTTCTACTAACAAACCCATATTGCCTCTTTCAAGCACTGCAAAAAGGTTTTAAAAAGTTAGCAATATTTTTTGTTCATGTTTAGGCAAAAAAAAATAAGTTGGTCTCTGGTCAGCGCGCGCGTCGATTTTAATCATGCGCGTCAATCTTTTTTTTTTTCCAAAATGTTCCGCGGTAGCTCAAACAGCGCGCTCTATTGCCGCACTTCTTCATTTTTTCCCCAAAGAGCACCAAGGAATGGGAGATTGCACCAAGGCAAATGATCGAGAGCACCAAGGCAAATTATGGAGGACACCAAAATAAGCAAAATAGTTCCCCACCTTGTCTGTACAATCCAAGCTTGAAGAAAAGAGAAAAAAAAGCAACAACAAAAAAAAGCTGCGTCCCCGCGTCAATTCCGGAACTTTGATCTGACCAGAGACCGAATATATTTTTTTTGGGCCTTATATATCGGATCTTCCCATGCATTCAGCCTTGCCTGTTGCACTCACACTTTATGTGTTTTTTTTTACTGTATGAAAAGATTGGCTTTGTATTGGTGAGGGGATTTGGCAAGAGCAACGAGCTCCAGGAGATTTATCTGCGGGTGCATTCGGCGTCCGTTACTAGCCAGGATGAACGAGGTATAGCAAGTTCTCGATAAAAATAAACTATAAGAGCAAAATAGGAGTTAACTATATATGTTCAGCCATAATTGTATCTGTCCTTAGTTGCCAACACGATCTTTGCTCGGCAACACTACCCTATCCGCTCCGTTCACAAGTACCCCCTCACCGCCGGGCAAAGAAAGTACAGTCGGGGCTGACCGAACGACGCCATCTTGCCTGACTGAAATATTTTGCCGCGAAGCGCGGCCACTGCGTGTACGTAGTATAAATCCCCTGGTTTACGTGCGTCACACACAATGAACGGTGCACGCGCGTCAACCAGCGAAATGTATGTGTCCCTCCCATGGGACGTCGTTGCTAAGTAAAAGGGCGCCCTCTTTTTGGCGCACGGAGCCTTGAGCCCTTATTTGAAACTAACCGACTGACAAACTCCCGTTTAAATAAACACTTAGTAACAGTGACTTAGTTATTTTTGAAGAAGCTTCCTCATTTATTTTGTTTTTCAGTTCTTCTGAGTGAAGAGAAAGACTTTAGCGATTGGTAAGTTTTGTTTTTGACCTGTGTGTTTATCTTTCATTCCATAGCAATATACCATTTTGATGTCAGTTTATTCTTTGATATTGTTGTACGATTGTAGTTGATGTACAAATTTCACTTGGACGCCCCACGAGTGTCATGTGAATGTACCAATGAAGACAAAGTAAATATATTATTGAAATTAACTGAAAGAATTTTATGTTTAAATATAAACATAAAGTTAAAGTTATGCAGGTCGTTGAAATTCAGTATTTGTAATTCTGCAAAATAAGGGAGATGTATGTTCTGATTAAGAGGATTTTGTAATTATTCTGACAGCTTTCTTCTGCAATAAAAACAGTTTATTACATTTTGAAGTTGCGCCACCTATATGAGAATACCATTATTAAATATGAAAGAACAAAGGAATTATAAAGTGCTAAAAGAATAGAAGTATAATAGTAGTTCAATAAATGCTTTGAAAAAATCCAATTCGCCGAACTAGCCTTTTAATAAGCTACAGTTAGGAGCTTTTCTCATTTTACTCACGCTGTGAAAGCTCTTGCAACCCAATTTTTTCTCTGTTTCCCTTTCGTGTTTCTCTTCATTTTGCCACTGATTAACTAAACCCAAAAATCCCCGTAAAACTGTTTTCCACAGAGGGGGAAACATTGTTTGGACGTGCACAAGTCCACACAACGGCGCTGCTACCTGGTTTATGTGTTTACTGGCCTCAGAGTACGCAAGCGCGCCCCCTATCCAGTAGCTAACCACGCGGCAGGAAGTAAACCGTAGAGTTGAAAGTTGTACTCTTGTCTTTATTCCAAGAACTACTTCGCTCTTGCCCTGACCTTAAAACTGTAAATCAGAGATTATAAAAAAAACGTATGTCAGTTCTCCATGTTTATGAGGTAAAATGATAAAAACCAGCATTAAGTACTTCAACTTCTTGTCAATAAATTTAAAAGGCCCTTAACATTAGACAGTCTCATCCCTAGAGATTATAAACACACACATGTGAAAATGGCTCATTCATGAAAACCTAATGTAGCACAGTTCACAGAAAAATGAAAGTTATGTTAAACAAAATCCTAATACACGTACATGTACAGTATAGTCCCAAGCCGCTTCATAAAATGAAGTGATTACATGTTTACCATGTCCAGCCATCTACATTATGTAAATCCAGTAAACTTACAGACTTGTGATTTCCAGGCTTCCTGGAATAATCAGAACGTCATCTAAAGAACTCTGTCACATACACATGTGTTCCTAAACTGTGCAAAAATAATCCATACATGTAGGCTCAAAAAGAATGTGAGGGTAAATACAAGAATGAGTAATAAAACTTCTTTTACCCAAAGGTCGTAAATAAGAGCTCAACTTATTTGTTCCAGCATTAATAGACTTCAAAGTTAACACTTACAAGGCTTAAGAAACATAACACTCATCCCGCAAGATGTCTCTTGACACTGCAAATGTGCGACTTCCTATAAACAAGGTTTCATGGGGGGGGGGGGCAGTCGCAGTGGCATGGCCACGGGGGGGGGGCGTGTGGGTGACAGCCCCCCCCCCAAAAAAAAAACCTTGTCACCCACCAGGCGCCCCCACTGTGATTTTGAGTTTCTAAAAATATTATCATTGATTTACATGACACCCCCCCATAAAATGTTCCAGCCCCCCAGCGCCGCCCCCCCCCCCCCCCCCCACTGAAAAATTCCTGACTACGCCACTGCCCTCACGCCCCCCCCCCCCCCCCCCCCGTGGCTACGCCACCGAGTAATTCGTACGTGCGATTTATTAATTCGTACGTACGGTTATTAATTTGTACTTACGGTTTAGTAATTCGTACGTACGAATTAGTATTTCGTACGTACGAATTAGTTTTATTTTAACCATGTCCTATCTACACTTCCATACGTTATACATGAAAACTAAGAAAACAAACCCAAAATCACAAGTAAATGCCACGCTTTATATCTAGATAACAACAAAGAAATGATTCTCCACTTACATATAAACATGCGGATGTCGAACCCCAAAGGATGAAGCCTCTAAAAACACTTATTTTAGAGCTTTCTGACACATGATTGTGCAGACCGTTAATCAAAAAAACGGTCTTGTCTCGAAACAAGAAAATACGCAATGCGCATGCGCAACGCGCGCTTTCGCATGGGTATGGCACGCCTGGACGCGATATTTTTTTTTACACAACTATCTTGGGTACTTTGTGCGCTTTCCTGTGGGGCTTGGTTTTTATAACCAGGCTTGAGTGGAGGCTACTATTTTTCAACTTAGTACGGATTTCGGACTTTATTTCCCTTTTAAAAAAAATCCTTCAGAGCCTCAGATCAGGAAAAGAAAAAGGAATTTGCTGCTATACAAGTAGTATCCGACTGAAAAATAACGTTTTTAAGATACAATTTAAATTGTTGAAAAAAAGAGCAAAATCTTTGTAAGCAAAGCGAGGATTCGAACTCGAGACCTCCGATCATTAGCCAGCATGCCTAACCACTAAGCAACGGCGGTGCTCGAAAAAAAACCTGCAATTCATAAATTGTGCAATTCATGTGCGGAGAGTATACGCGCGCGCGCGTAGGTAAAAGGTTACAGGATTGTAGAGCGCCGCTATACAATCCTATAACCGTGATTCAAGTCGCCTGAAAAATGGGTACCCCAGATAGTTGTGTAAAAAAAAATATCGCCGCCTGGACATACCGCCTTGGTATGGAACGCCAAAAATGAACAAAGAAAAAATTACGTACTTCACAATGTGGACCTATTTTGTTCGAATGTCCGCACAGTGTTGTTCGAATGTCCGCACAGTGAATGTAATGCTTGTACACTCTCACACACGTTTGTTTATGGTGTAAATCGAGGATTTTCTTTTGTTCCTCTTCCCTTTTCCTTTGTTTGTAATCTTTTTGCAACAGCTCTCATTGGTTTTGTACACGTTTTCCAACCGAGGAGTCTTCGATTCGGTTTCTGTCCTCGATTTTTCGATGGTGTTGCAAGTGTGTGTCCTCGATTTAACCATTAACACGCGCAAGTGTGTATTTGCCTGCAATCGGGGGTCTCCTATTGTCCCTCTTTTGTTTGTTCATTAACTTTTAAGAAAGACCTCCCATAATTTTTTGTACAAGAATCAAAATTGGGGACCCTATTGCCCTTTATTGTTCAACGTCGCCTATTCAATGCAGAAACAAACTCACATGCACACAGGATTTCTAACTGCAAAGGAAGCTCTTATTTATTTCGCCAAAGGACTCTGCGGTCAACTCGCCGCACCGCTATCAGAAGTGCAACTGCTGTTTCCAAGCATAGAAAAACACAGCTACACACAATGTGTTACACTGTAACAACTTCAGCCCTCCCTAGAGTAGCCACACCTTTTAGTGATCTATTTATAGGGCCTATTTCCGAAGCGCGCGCCATTAACCAGACAATAGAACAAAAGAATAAGGCTTTTAGAAGCACAGAGAGCTCTTTGGCGCAGTGTGGGAGATTACAATAATCTGAACGCATTGGATTTTTTTATTCATTTAAATCGATGGGCATTGCCTGGACGATCAGTCTTCCTCTTACTAATTATGGGAGTGTGTGAAAAATCCAGTTAATAAAAGTTTTGAAGCTGTTGAAATTCTTTATAACCAAAACTGTCTTCTGTTATTTCTTTTGGGGCATAGGTTTTCCTTTGATATCAGTGAAAACGGAGCGATCGGTCAAGTATACTACCCACGTGATGAAGACGATCACGTGATATGGGCCAAGAAAGGTCTGGCTAGTCTCTTAGCTGGTAACCTGCAACATCCTCCAGCAGACAAGGTACAGACAACTTTAGTTCTAAGATTATACATAGTACGTAAACTCAGATCACTTTCAAATTTAATATCATTGGGGTTTCCCTTCACCATAGGGTCTATTGTAGTTTGGGTTTATACCCAACTTCCCACTTTCCAGTTTTGTAATTATGCTCTGCTTTGAGACAAGCGTATTTCAGTCAATGTGAGTGTATTTCACAGATATCTGATTCCTACGGGTTACACCTATATGTTCTGACACCCCGATGCTCCGACTGCACATGTTCCTATTCCTAACCCTAACCCTAACCCTAAGCAGGAGTAACACAATTTTATGTGCGGGCTGTCGGAACATAGGGGTGTCGGAACATACAGGTAGGGGTGTCGGAACAAAGAGCAGTCACCATTCCCACGTTCACTGAAAACGTTTCCCTTGTCAGATTTGCCTCGGAATCTGTGTATTGTTTGGCCTAATATTATGACAAAACTAATTTTGTTTGTGTAAAAATGAAACCTTTTCTGAGATTTCCGGGTCAAAACTGAACCGAAATTGAATCGGAGAAGTGTCATTTTTACTCAGAAACTTAGTGTATTTTTGAACCTGAAAAGTGTAGGCCAAATGTAACACTGATTCTAGGTCATATCTGTCCAGCGAGTTTTGCAGTATTTCCTGCAACTGATCTGCATCAAATAACTTCGGTTTGTACCTGATAAGAAGCTCAACGCTCGCTAGTGCAATTATTCATGAAATATTAAGTTGACCTGAATGACTTAAATATAAACACCGCAAAAGAATTCCACACTCACAAGAGGGGTTATACTTGATGACGTCATTTTTATACACCTTTTTGGGGAATTTTGCTAGCTACATTTGAATACCCCGTTTGATAACAAAGACTGTAGTTGGAAAAGTTGCAAATTGAAAAGATTACGCGAGTGGAAATGGCGAGGTGACAATGTTACACTTCCCGAAACGAACGCCAAGGAATATTGAATGACCCGTGCTTTGTTCGGGCACTGTGCAATCGATACGGGCCAATTACGGGCATGTGTGGTTACGCTTAGCAATCTCTCCTGATAACCTGATTTCATAAAGGTATCAAAATGTGGCTTACAAAATTCTCCAAACGTCTATGACGTCACCATCAGATCCAAAATTAGGACCCCTCCAATGAGTGTTGACCAATTTAAAGTAATTATTCGAAATAGTGTTCTGAAAGAACTGGATTAAGTTTTGTTCCTAATCTCAAAATGATCGTTGTTACCCAATTGTATTGATAAATCGATTCTCTTTCACCTCCCATTTGGACAGATGAAGGAAAGCGGCTGGAGCTACGACTGCAATGAGACAGGTCACGAGGGTCACCACGAGTCGTCCTACACGGCTCAGATGGCACCGGGCAATGATGGCATTATTGTCTTCACTAAGACTAGACGCACACACCCAATACCTTACGGCAAATCCAAACACCAAAAGGTAAGCATATGAGTGGGGCATTTTGGGACCAGGACAAAGTGTTCAACTAAAGATATCTTCTGCACCATTTTCCCTCAATTGAAATAGAAAGGCTGCATTGTCCATTAACATTAATCAAAATTCGAGTTGTACCCAGTAGCGCGCGCCGGAACCTAGGATGGATGATTTCATTTTCTTGCGAGTACTCTAGCTGCGAGTGCTTGCAGAAATTGCCAAGTTTTGAACATGTCCAAAATCCCGCGAGCAACTGCGAGCTTTCACTGCCAGCTGCAAGTACCTGCAAGTGGCTGCGAGTAACCCCCTCACACGGGACAAGTTCCTGTGGGAGACTGCCTTAAATAACTGTTACGTTCCGCTCGTGTCGCCCTTGATACGGAGATTTTACTCGCTTATTGAAAAACAGCGACGACAACAGAACTCGAATAACATATCGGTCTTAAATGTTACACTATAACACCGCATAATTGTTATGACACTCTAACACCACGTTACAATATGTCATGTCCAGGAGAAACTTTCAAAGAAAATCTTCCAATGACAGGAACAAAACGGTCGCGAACTTCAAAAACAAAACACACAGACGGTGTAGCTGGATACAATTTACCTTTAATTTAGATTCCACAAGCTTTTCCAGTAATTGTTTTGTTTTTTATGGTAACCCGGTCAGTTTTGCTAATCCGATGGTTCAAGTGCTGCAGCTAGGATGCGAGCGAGTTCGTATTTCCGAAACTTTAAATGTTTATTCCCCCCAAAAAAAAAAATCCTACTAACCGATGAAATAAAATTTATATAAGATATTTTTTCATTCCCCCCTCAATAATATATTTCCAATATTACAGCTTCGTGATACGAATATGCAAAATGTTATTTCGTCGACTCTTTTGATCCAGAGGACATAATGCCTTTTCAGTTTACAATATCCAGATTAAATTATTATTGTCTGTCCTTCACCTCTTACATACCAACATAGAATTTCTTTTTTAAGGTTTGCATCAAAGTCAGTTCTGAAATTCATATAGATTTTTTTTAAGTCACATATTCTATTTGAGACACAACTATGAACACCAGGTATTAATGTATCTGTTTGGTCTTAACCAAATGGTTTCAAAGTCTTAACTTAAAGGATTTCTGTTGGAAACCATGGCACAGTAAAAGATCTCGCTGCATTGTTTCGTGTTCTGAAGCAGCTATTAAGGTTTGCATTTGTACAAGAATTTGGAATAGTATTCATTGTTGCTGAATGGACAATAAGGTTATTTGAAAGGGTCCTTGTCGAAATTTAATGCAATTATAGTTGGCACATCGGTCGAATTATCCATCCCAATTAGTTGGCATATCGGACGATAAGTCATTTTACATTAGTACTGATCGATAATTCCTACCATTACATTGAGACCAATTTCTTCAGAAGGAGCCTTCGTAAAGTGTTATCATTTATTGGTCGAATAGGAAATCCACTATCATCCTGCCATGAAGCTCCCATTAATGGTCAAGATACTGGATCACTTTGATGCTCCAAGAGAATCGGCACCAGGGTACGGGTATGAGTTTTATATTCCCCATTTTTACTATGATTTTTAAACAATGAAAAGTAGGGGTGTTCTTAAAGATGGAGCATACTAGCGAATTGCAAAAACTAGTTGCAACTTTGTATCTACCCGACAGTTCGGACCAGCTTGGTGCAATTTTATTTTTTTCTTGTCAAATTTGAATAAAGTGTACTACAGAGAGTACTTCAAAAAAGTTCGCCTTGTACTTGTACTCTGGCAAGTACTCGTGTTCGTACTTGTGAAAAAAAGTACTCGACTTCAACACTGCACCAGGGCGTTGCATCTGAGGTCAACATTTTTTGTCAATTTCTTTTTTTTTTAATACAAATCAGCACAAATGAAGTTGAAAGCCCAAATGCATTACACTCTTTCATTTCCCCCCAAAAGTACCCCCAAACTGACAATTTTGTCAAAATAGGGAAAGAAATTAAAGAATGGCTTTTTGCACCAACGGCTATTTGGCTTCACGTCATGAATTACATTAAGGTGTAATGAATTTTGGTCTAAATTGCACGCTTGACACATAGGTTTGCCGAAGAAAACATGCTCTTCACCCTCGATAAAACCTTTTTTAAAAAGTCAGCAATGTTAATGCTTGTCTGTCAAAGCCTACCACAGCGTTTATTCATAATATGCCTCCAATCTTCTGCTGTCCTAAAAATTATGTTTTAACGAATACGTTTTAGCTGCTCCATAAACTTATTTTCAGATGAACTGTTATAGTGACTTAAAGAAGGTCTGGCATTCGATTTTTAAATAGTGAGAACACGTTTTATTTTCAGATTTCGTCATCAAAATCAAGAGGATGAGCAAACAGAAGAAGAATTTGGTAATTAACCATTGTAGTGTATCGATGCCTTAGTGATCGTTGTTTTCAAGAGAAAGTTCGTGAACCTAAAAATATAACAATGGTCCAGTCCAGTCCGGTCCGGTCCGGTCCGGTCCAGTCCAGTCCAGTCCGGTCCAGTCGGTCCGTTGCGGTCCGGTCAAGTCTGGTCCAGTCCGGTCCGATCTGGTGCAGTTCGGTTCTGTCAGATCCGGACTGCATGGTCTGGTGTGGTCTGGTCTGGTGCGGTTCGGTCCGGTCAAATATGTTGAGATGTAACGACATGTATGGGAAAGTAACAATACGCAGGTATAATGAGATTGAAAACATTGAAACGTAAATTCGTTCCCCCGGTTTTGGCATTGATTGTAATATGTTTGAAATAATTTGTTTGTCGCACATCATTGTTAGCTGTTACATATATATTTATGAACCAAACCAATAAGGTTTTAATGCATTGGTTTCTATCGTTTGGATGTTCTTCAGAGTTTCCTGAGATGCAGACCTCCTCTGAAGGGCAGCTGACCTTTGAACGAGAGATATACTATTCATCACCCAGTGGGCCACCTGATGATGAGGATATAGTCACAGACTCAATACACTTGAAGAAGGTAAAAAGGATATATATGTATTCGAGGTCACGTGTAAGTGTTCTACATGGGTCATTTTATAAACTAAGGGGCAAAACTCTAATATAATACCCCGACCTCATCAAGTGAAAGGGAAGGTAAAATGCGGCCCAAAGTAAATGGAATAGCCCAGTGAATTGATGGCGTATGTCTTGTATCCCTTTATGTGTTATTTGCAATAATTTAATTCAGCATTAAGATTCCCATAGGAAGCACATACTGGGATGTCTCGATGTGTATTACTGTTGGAGACAAAATAGTAATGCTATGGGGTTTCATAAAAAAGTGTTTTGTTTTTCAGTGTGCTAATACAATTACGAATCGACCCATAAATAAATCTTCGTATAATATTGAGTGTTTTTTTGATGTTCATTCACGCATCATATACGATTTTTAGCCCCTACGTAGTCATGTGAACACCGATATGGCGTCATTGAAGGAACAGATTTCTGGCAACCTGACATGCATGAGGAAAGCTGCGCTGAAAGGTAAAAAGAGCGATACAGCTGATAAAGTTAGCTCTCTACAGCTTAAAGTGTATGGCACACAAAAGCACTTTTGGAAACCAGAAGTGCACAGTACAGCTGCGTTCCTCAATTAGACAGAGGTTCGCAAAGCCCCTCGAATGAAATTTTCGTATGGATAAATTTTCGAAATTTTAATATTAATTTCGAAATCATCAATGACGTAAAGTTTGAAACAATGTATACCCAGTACCTCTTTAGAGACATTGTGAAAATACTTTACAAAGCTAGCTTAGGTTGGAGTACAATCCCGACCTATACGGAAGGAGACTGCGGATTAAACCAGACCAATGAGAAAATAGGAGGCTGCAATAATAAAGACTATTCTCAGCAAAAAGTACATCTATGTCAATTGATTTTTGCAACACACAGAATCCAAGCAACAAAGCCAATGTTTCCAGGATCTAGTTCAGACCTTGCACTCCGTGCCTGATGGCCAGAAACTGGCAGAGATAGTGGCTCCAATGTACAAGCCACCCATGTCAAGGTATGCAATAGATGGGAGCCTATTGAATGTTGTTCATATGCTTTTCTAATATCATAATTTGTTTTATATGTATGGAAACCTATCCAAGTGCTAAAATCATCGCCCAAAAGATGCTATATGTGACACACTAACCTTATTACTTTTACATCCGCCCTACAATTGTCTCTTCTCAGACGGGTTCGTGACAAGCAGGACAGGCTGAACATGTTGGATGCGGTTGCCGCGATGCACACTGATACTTCTCAGTCACTCCTCACCGATGCCATCCTCTTGTCTCCGAAACCAAACAAGGAGCTGGTAGAGAGACTACTCATTGCCAGTGCTGGCTTCATACATGCTATTTCAGAGGTAGTACATATATATTCTTTATAGGTGGCCACTCGAACAAAGTCTATAAGGGCGACATTCGACATTTGTTTTTACCAATTTCCAATAAACTTTGTTTTTCAGCATTACCTGGAGAATGTGGAGAATATCGTCTTCAAGTCACACACATTCCCTAGTGAGTATTTTGTTATTTCTTGAACAAAGAATCATGTAGTTGCCTCCATGGTTCAAAAAGTAGAATATGTTTGTTCTCCGTGCAACCGTTTTCTTTTTCATTCTGGGCATGCCCCTTCCCACTGGTCTGTTCGCAAAAGGGGAGGGGACCTGTATTGCTGACAACAGGGGAGAAAAAAACAGTACACCTACTGTAATACTATTTTGTAGAGGATCGGGGCACACAATTGCAGAGTAATAAGGACCGAAAGGGGTACTGCTACTTGTACATTTTGTTAAAAGCCGATAGTTGATGGATGAATTTAGCTGAAGGTTTGAGGTCCCATGGGTCCTTTTTGAATAATAATTTGAATGATTTTTCAATTTGCTTTTGATACAGAACCTCTAAGGGACCCCGAGATACAGAGAGTTGCTGTGCTGGTACTCGGTGCCCTCGCTGGTCACCGATGGAAGGCCGGATACAGAGCTCAAGCAGAGTCCATTGTCATCAAGATTGAGAATAAACTCGGCGTACATGGTAAGGGAGAACAGTCCTCTGTTGTTTGAAAAAAGAGTCCACTTTACTAACGCTATCAGTTTAAGCGAAAAATGAAAATCCCATTTTTAAGATGTGGCTATTTCCAACATGATCTGAGACTAGAACTCATTGTTAGAATCACCGCGATTTTTGTAGACTTTTGAGACTAACTTAGAGTTAGGCGACAGTTTTACACAGGTGGAGCAATAGTTTCCATTTACTGAATATAATTTAAATTGATGCTTCTGTTAAATAGTCATAGTTTTTGTATAATTTCAATGTTCAGACCCCTGGGTGTATGAGAAGACCTTGACATCTCTGACCGAGGATGAGCGAGATGATTTTCACCATGACATAGTGGCTTTGATTGAATCCCTGGGCAATGCTGGGCTCCATCGTTCCTTCCCTCACATCCAGAGCTATACCAACCACAGCGCCACTCATCCACTGCTGAAAAGGGCTGGCTTGCACTCCATGAGAGACTACCATCATGACATGGTAACATAAAGTTCAGTTAACCCGGGTTATTTTGAACATCTCACAGCCGCCCCCCCCCCCTCCCCAACCCTTATATCTCGGCCATCAAGTGGCAAAAAATTATGAAACTTTGTACATGCATAGAACAAACAAATATAAACATACACATAGGTTTAACAGTTTTGGAATTATTGGCTAGTAATTATTCATATGCACCAGTAATAATTCTGCTTTGTAAACACTACATTATCGGGGAAGTTAGATTTCACGGCGCGCAGCGCCGACCAATATTTCGCTGAGCGAACAACCATGGCAAGACTTGAGGCTTAAAAGTCTGGAAAGTTCGGATCTGGAAATCAGTTTTTTGCAAGGGTATTGCGGAAATTTGAGAAGGGGGAATTATTCCCCCGGGCCTTGCTAGGGTTAATCCTAAGAAAAAAAATATAATGACACAGGGGCGGCTCCAGGAATGTTCGCAGGGGAGGGGGGGGTTATCAGCAAAAAAATCAGAAAATGTACACAGGTTTTTTTCTCCGGACACTTCGCCTCCGTAAAATCAAAACCTGGTGGGAGGGGGGGGGGGCTGGTACCATATTTCAATAGGAGGCGCTATTCAAATTCGACGATTGTTAACACTAGATTACAGAATGGTGTACCGTATTTTGAACAGGCGGACATTATACCAGTATAATTTTTTGGTCGGTGTTAGGAGGGGGGGGGGTCGACTTATTTTTTTTAGGATTTTGTATGATAATTTTTTTTGGAACAAAGCTGGGGGGGTTCTGACCCCCAAAGCCCCCCCCCCCCCTCTGGATCCGCGCCTGAGACAGCATGTCAAAGATACAGATAATTGAGCAGAAATAAAGACTTTCCTTAACTTATAAATAATTAAATAATTGTATTGTATAATTGCCTATTAAACAATGTTTGTTTGTCTCTCTCTTATTCTCCTTTTTTTCAATCAAATAATATTCGTTTCAGGTGTTTGCAACCCTCGGGAAAACAAGGACGATTTCTTTTTCGGTCGACGTCTTTCAAGAAAACTTGCAGAAAAAACAAAATTTAGTTTTCGGATAGGCAGTAAACGAACTTAACTTGAGGAAGTAACGATTATTGTTAGAAAAAGTTGAGGTTTCCCTATCCTTTTCACACTGTTTTGCTGCACGTATCTAAATGACAAGCTTTACGTCACGATACGTCTGCTTTTGTTTGTCGCATGTAGGCAGCTGGGATTCTTCTCAAGTCAGCCCTGGATGAAGATGAGGACGAGCATGTCAGATACGAGGCTTCACTCTTCTACAAGAATCATCCAATGGGTGGTCACCAAAATATCTCCAAGTTTGTCACCCCAGAGGAGTGAGTATGAAATCTCGGACAGGCCTACATTTTTTTAAAGAAAAAAAACAATAGACGTCAGACATAATGACGTCACGTTTTGTTTACATGTGCGCTTTCCTATTAGAGCTAGGTGAGACGTTTTTGAGGCCTTGTCATGATCATAAATGGAAATTGTCTTACCCATCGTTATTTCTAAATGTTTGGTTAATTTTCCTAAAATCGGCTGAAATGTTAGCTGGCTTTTGTTTTATTGCTCAATAGCCAACACAAGAGGGCGCGTTTTTTGTGTACCCAATCATGCCCATTTCTAATCCAGAAAAAGTTTGTATTAAAAATGCTCTCAAGTTTAGCACATGATTATTTTCTCTAAATTAGTAAAGAACATTCGGCACTCAGAAGCGATGCTAGTGGACAATTTTTCACGTTGTATTAGAAATTATAATAATGCTATATGCATTTGCCTCCCAAATTCGACGCGTTCCGGAGATACAGCTCAAAAAAAGATAGTTTCGTAGAGAACAGACACAACCCTCGCTCTTCGAACGGTTACAATTACTTCAAACAATTATACGGCTAAAAGGTATTGCTCTGTTAGGCATACCGTAATCATAAGCTATACTTTGTCCATTAGTAAAGTCTAACATGAATGCCATTATCATTCCTGATCAGATATTCTGCAGACATTTTCTCCCAAGATGTAGCTTCCGCCGCTATAAGCGTGCCCTCCAGGCGTCGCTTGAGACGGGGATTCTGGGACGGATTCTCCTTTACGTTGCCCAGTCCGTCCATTTACTGGAAGAAGCTCCTTGGCAGCCCAAAGACCGGAGCAGAGTTTGGAGTGACCATCAGGAATGAACTTAAAATGGAAATTGGTATGTATAAGATAGAACACTATTATGTGCTCGACCTCTGTTTATTGGTAAAAAAACAGAGGTGAATTATTTTTCGCAGAACCTGTCATCAGTACTTGTTGAGATTTGCCCATTGGATAACGCACAATTACTCGAAATGGAGAAAACGTTACCTGGACAAAAGATTTTCCCACAGACGAGATGCACTTATTTAATTCATTTTTTGGAACTCTAACAGCTCCCCTGAGTGGTCATGTCGGCGTGGATATTTTAGACGAGGCCTATGCAACAGTCTTGGTTGGACTTGTCGATTTTTCAATGGATATTGTCCGGGCTCGTTTCTGCTTCAATGGTTACGCTGATTATAACCTCAACATACTACAGGTATATGTTACTTCCCTTCTTATGTGCTATATATCTGTCGATAAATACAGGTGAAAAAAAGTTGGCGTTAAATAACATTGCTCTGTTTGTCATGATACCAAAGCAGTTACTCTGATCAAAGTTAAAAAAGAAAAAGGTACTTTTTTGTCACAATCAGGAATTTGGTGTGGAGCGCATCACTGACTTTGCAAAAGTTTACGATCTCATCATTGGGCAAGTAGTTGGAAACATCAGGAGGGCAGTGGACGTTGTTGTTAAACTCTTCAACGGCGAGATAAGCATTGCTCAGCTATTTGACGACTTTGTTCAATCACTAGAGAATATCCCTACCTCCGTAACCGTAAGTATATTTTGACCGTGACATAACGGTACTAGTGGTATTTGGCTGTAATAATTATAGGCTTTATTGCAATAACTTTTGCGCTAATCATACTAGTGTGGCACTGATTAGAAGCTGATCAAAGTCAGTTATTCTCTAAAACTCGATACTTAACAACGCAAATAAATCATTTTCTGAGGCGCCTGCGCACGCGCACCTGAAAAGGAATTTGTTAATAAATTACAACAATAATCCATGTGATTAGGAATTTCGCTTTACCGCAGCAGCACAGGGCCGATATAACTCAGCGTGCAGATGACTCGATGGGGCGCTTCCATTACCAACGATAACCCCCCTATACTCACCTTATAACTTCAGGTAGTAGTTACTTACAATGTCTCATCTAAGTGACTGGTTTCTTCTTATTTAATACTTTTCTTAGCGGTTAATGCAAGGAAGATAAAGATCTTTAGAAGTATCTTTAGTATAAAACTACAAATGGAAAACGTTTTCTCATAAAATTTTGTTTTATAAAATTAGCCTGCCAGGATTGTTTCGTAGCATGTCTGATTGTTCATGAGAATATTTTAATGGATTTGGTGCTAAATGAATTTTATTAGTCGAATTGGGTTTTGCCCTTCACCGATGTATAAACACTGCATACTCAGTGTGTTACCTCCCGAGAGGAAGTCGAAAAAAAATCACTCTGGTGGAACTCGAACCCACGACCTCGACGTAACGGGATCGGTTGGCTGGCTCGAATCTAATGTACATAGCATAAGGTGTTTATATGTCGGTGAAGGACAAAACCTAATTTGATTTACATCACCCGACGCATAATTCAACCTTATTTTATTAGTAATATATTTTATTATTGTTCATGTCCGTTATGCAGAATTTGAGATCAGTGGCCATGCAGGCTGTGTCCAGATTGTCTCAGTTTGACCCAGATCAGATGCCAGCTTCCTTCAGAGGTGTGATCAGTGTCGTCAACAAGGCTACTCAGCTCTTCAGTGATATCAAAACAGACGTCATGGAATTCTACCAGGTATAGCTATTTGTTTTCCTCTGCAGTCAGGTATAGTCAGTATAGTCTATTATACGTATGCGTACAGAAGACAGATAGTGCCACTTAATAAGTCTGAATATATTTGTTTGTACGTGTGAAAACATTTTTTGTAAAGCACCCGCCACTTATTATGTGATAGCCGCCACATAATAAGTGGCAGCCGCCACATAATAAGTGGCAGCCGCTGTACAAAAAAAATATGTTCACACGTACAAACAAACATATTCAGGCTTATTGAGTGGCACTCTCCGTCTTCCGTATATGCGAAGAACATGTCACGTAATTGAAATAGTAGATATCGCGTTTTAAGATGACTTTAATTTAGATATCCAAAAAGGTTGAAGGTCCACCGTGGCTTTGTGGATATGCTAGTGTGGGCGTGTTCATCTATTTAAACCGTGGACGAAAAATTCCAGAGAACAATAGAGAACAATATCGTCACGCTTCCATGCATACGTCTGCGATTGGGGTCGTGAACAAAACATATGGGAGTCTTCCTAAAAAGTTAGGGGTACAAACTAAAGAGGGACAATAGGACGTCCACGATCGACGGTGTGAACACGTTTGCGTGTGTGCGTGTGTAGGTTATAATTCCAGTGATTTAATCTCTCCCATTTCCACCACAATTGTCCTAACAAGTCCACTTTTCACCAAGTCCTACTTCTCAATGAAAGAAATGTACCCTTAAATCCTTTTTGATAGCATTAGAGGGAGATAAAGGCCCAGAACCATTCCGGTAACAACTTACGCATGTACTTTCGAGTCAGTGACTATAATTGTTTGCCAACAAACTGTGATCGACATCGGGCAGATAATGATTGCAGACTCTGTCCATTTCCAAAGTTAGGTTCTCAGATCCTAAAGCCAATACACAATATTTTCTTGCTAAATTGTGGACTTTTATGACAGCCTTATGTCAGTTATAAAGTTATAAACACAGAAAATAGCTGTTAAACTGTTTCGGCAAAACAAAAATATTGTAGCATGTTTATTTTAATTTTTTTATACAAAGCAGCTATTATGAATGTTTCGCTATTCAGGGTGTAAAGAAAACAGGTAATCCAAAATCAATCGGCTAACACGGAAAAGTTAGAAAATTGTTGACTGTCAAAGTGGCTCCATCTTAAAGGGTAGGCCAAGAGCTTTTAATTGATACCATATTCACAATCACACCTTTTCAGTAACAGATGACTTAGTACCTTTGCTTGCAAAACAAAGTCAGAAAAACCTCGATTTCCAAATTTGCTGAATACATGGTAAGTTAATCTGTTGGAACAATGCGCTGTCACTGTGGACAGTGTGTCAGGGAATGTTGTTGCATAAAATGGTACATAAAAATTTCCATGAATGATTGATCATTTCAGAGATTCTGTCTATCATCAACAACACCTACTTCTTCCAAGCCTACCTGATTCAGTGACAAGTTGAGCTGCCAAAAAAAGTCGTAGTCGCAGTGGATTATGTGTTGATTTTGAGGGGAGAAACATGTTGAAAGTGTTTGAGTATAAAATGGAGTAACATGTTTCATGATTAAATCAAAAATTCAAAGATTGTTGTTTATTCATTAAAATAATAACTACCTAATGCAAAAGAGCACTCAGAAATCATTAGCTTGGGCGTTTGCCTAACTGGGCATGGCTTTGACTATGCCCATTACAAGCTACATGTTTTACAGATTTTTTATATGACATTGCCAGTTTGTAATGAATAAGTGAAGCTTTGGAATGATAAATAATATATGGACAACATAAGGCACTATTTTAAGCAACAACATCTTCAACATACCCTTTTTAACGAACTGTCCACAGCTGTGACAGCGCATTCTTCTGACAGCTTACCTCTGAAATAGAGGGTTTTTTGGCCTTTGCATGCTGTACAATCAAGGGTGCTCAGTCAACTGTGACTGAAGAGTTGTAATTATGGTATCAATTGAAAGGTAAGGAACTAACCTTTAAAATGAAACCACTTTGACATATTACAATGATCTAACCTTTATATATGAGTCGATTGATTTTGGATTACCTTTTCTTTATACACCCTGTAGTTAAAAAGGGGCGATTTCAAACGTACAGCATAAAATGTTTTAAATTTAGCAGGATTTCGTTGGAAATTTCCTATTTGTTCTGTTAAGGATGAAGGACCTGTGTGTCTTCATGATAATATAGTATACATTTTCCCTGTACATAGTTTGGATGAACCTTGATTTGTTCCAATTTTCTGCAGGCCGTCAGTGAAGCAATCACTGTCACTTTGCCAGGGGCTGTCGAGCAGATCTGGAAGTCTATCGTTTCAGTTTCAGATTCTATTGGAGGCCTACTAAAGTCACCCCTGGAAACGATCGGAGCCATCTTCAAAGGTGTCCTCAAGTAAGTTTAGACACTGATGTACGCGCTGTAGTATAGAGCCCGGATGTTTGCCCTTAAATAGCAAATTTAATTGCAAACATTTTAAAATGTGCAATTGTTTTTTGGTAAATTTTTGATAAATTGCATGACTTAAAAGAGAAATATCGTGATAAATATTGACTTCTCACTTCCGAAAAGTACATGCAGACTAGTGCAACTCAGGTGTACTCGTACATCGGCTAAAAATTATGAAATACTTTTTGTAGCGGTCATTTAATAACTTAAAGTTGAATAGAAGAGCGGTGTGTCTTTTTGTGTTTACTATGTGTCTGGAATACAGTTTAAGGACTCGTTAGCATTTACGAAATATAATCTGAAGTGAGCGCTGCTAATGCCTTCAATCAAGCCACCCCGACGAAATCTGGAACCCATGGGTTGTAGGTAGGTAAATCCTAGGGTCGTTATACATTCTCGTTCTCATACAAGTGCGCGATGTCGGATGTGTAAGGTCGTACATGGAATTCGTTTTAACTATCTCCAAGTGATTTTTCATCACGTTGTTTTTAAAGAATTCCAAAATAGAATTCCAACGTAAATGCTTCTCGGGGTGGTATACAGTTAGAAATTATTCTGAAAAAAATATTAGCAAGGGGAAGGGCAACCCAGTGTAAAATGCCCATGGATGGGCCGCGAGAGGGTTCTGAAAGCTGAGCTGCGTGGCATCTAAAGCCTTATATAGCGCACGTATCTACCAACAATAGTAAGATACTCAAGGCGCTAAAAAATATGGTTTTTTTAGAGACAAGTAAATGAAGTACATGAGAAATATGAGAACCATTATGTAGCACCTTAATAATGGTTTAATTGCGCATTAAGCAGCCACTGTCAGAAACACCTGGGCAAACCCCTTCTTTTAGCGATAAGTGCTACTGGGTTCTTTAACGTGCATTACACAACGCACGGGACCTACGGCTTTACGTCCCATCCGAAGGATGAAGCAATAATAGTAAAGTGCCTTGCTCAGGAGCACAAGCACCATGTTCCCACGGTACACGAGTCGAACACCCACTCTCAAATTTGTATCCTTGTGAAGACATTTCTTTGTTCTTGTGTAGTAAAGTTTTCAATTTTGAAAGTGAAGTTTCAAAATGCTCTTATTTTAACCAGAATTAATTTCCTTGGCTGAAATTCGGACTTAATATCCCTTTTCTAAAACTCTTCCATTTGCGACATATCAACCCACCTTGGCAATTCCTTGTTTTTGAGTAAAATCCATATATCTATTTCGTAAAAACCTTGTAGAGACCTATTCATCTATAGAAGTTGCCTTGTGGAGACCTTTACAATGTTTTGTTCCCTATTGTGTGCGTGTCTCCACAAGGATACAAATTTGAGCACACCGTAACCATTGGACCACAGCACCCCGTTATTACCGTGTCCATTCTGTTCTAGCCTCTAGACCTTTCAAATGAACAGATATATATGTAAAAGTTACTATGCAGAGTTCATCAGGTGTTACTAAGGTATTGCCTTGTTCCCAAACCCGACATAAGAAACTTTTTTTATGCCATAATGATCATCGTTATGCTTTTTTATCAGCATTAAGACTGCTGTTACTGAAATCCTGAATGCCAAGAAGGAGATAGAAGAAGCCAACTTTTTCAAGGAAGGTGAGGCACAGTTACATGTTTTCCCTCGACTAATTGATCCGGCCAATATATTTGATGGTTTGAGGTATTGAGAAGTTCCTCGAATAATTTCAGCAAGTTCTGTCTTGTCGATCAGGTCAGAGGCCCTACTGGTTTGATCTACCCAAGGTCCTCGGTGGTATTCTCAGAGAGTTACTGGAACACCTCCGCAACATCAGAAGAGATCTTAGCGTTTGGGTGTCCGAGATTGACAGCTCATCAGATCCCGTCACGAAGTTGACAGGGGGTGCTTTTGACTCGGTAAGACACATCAATCTACTTTTTTGAGATTTTAATTAAATTAAGTTATTACATTTTTGAAAATGAAAATGAACAATCTGCTGCAAAACAATTACAAACTGGATTGACCTGAAATATAAAAATCAAACACAAATTAGACGGCCTAATGTTGGCATCCTAGCAGTATCTTTGTCAAAGACAAACTGGCAGGGATTACAGAAATAGACAAATGAGGGACACACAACCTATGTGTGGTTGTGTCTCATTTATGTGTCTGTTTCCCGTTAGGCCATCTTATATTGTTTTGATTTTGATTACATTTTTGATATTTTACAGATTCCCTTTTCTTACTGAAAATAAAAGCAATATTTCTGAATCAGAAAACAGGAATCGATCTATTTTCATTGTTTGATGCTAATTTAACACTGTTGAATCAAATCAACAAGCAAGAAGTTTGCTTATATCTATTTATTGCTCTGTGTTAAAAGGAATATACAACATTTCCTTTTGCTGTAATTTTCAGAAATGGACGCGATTTGGGGGTTAGTATTTTGTAGCATTGTAACACTGATCTGTTTCAATTAAAGTTTTGTGTTCCTAGATAATGGAGAAACAAAGAAAAACAATGCTGTTTTTGTAGTGTGGTTCCCTGACCCTTCTTCAGACGAAACGAAGCCATTTATTGACGTCGGTGAATTATTAGGTCAGGGAACCGTACTAGATTGCTTGCAGCCGTTCACGAACTTGTAATAAAATTTGGTAAATTTGGGGTAGTTTAAGAAAAACATACATTTTTCCTAACGATGGTCAGCCGTGGTTGTGTCTCATTTATGTGTCTGTTTCCCGTTAGGCCATCTTATATTGTTTTGATTTTATTTACATTTTTGATATTTTACAGATTCCCATTTCTTACTGAAAATAAAAGCAATATTGCTGAATCAGTTCACGAACTTGTAATAAAATCTGGTAAATTTGGGGTAGTTTAAGAAAAACAGACATTTTTCCTAACGATGGTCAGCCGACCATCGTTGGAAAAAAAATGTTAGGTCAGGAAACCATACTAGATGGCTTGCAGCCGTTCACGAACGTGTAATAAAATTTGGCAACCAGCCCACCATCGTTGGAAAAAATGTTAGGTCAGGGAACCATACTAGATGGCTTGCAGCCGTTCGAACGTGTAATAAAATTTGGCAAATTTGGGATAATTTTAAGAACAACAGATATTTTTTTTCGAAGGATGGTCAGCCGACAATCGTTGAAAATTGATACAAATATATTCCACTTTTTAGTCAAGTACGGTATTTCATGATAATTTTTGAAGATAAACCTCACGAACAGTAATTACAATGTTACTTTCACATTGTGGACAACTATTTTCTCCTGAGTGCGGAGATGCTGTTTCAGTGAAGTTTCCCTCTCTTGTGAGCAAGCCCTGTGGTCAAACGAATTTTTTTCAAATCGCAAATATCTAGACAAAGATCTTGCCTCAACACTACCATTCCAATGTTTGTGTCCCCTTTGTGGTTCATCGTGTCATTTGTCGCTTATTATAGCACACATTGAGAGGACGAGTGCGAGATGAGATTGAGTCAATCTTTCAAGATCTGATGGATCCGATACAACCCCTTCAGAATCTCCTAGGCCCATTTTTTGAGCTGCATAACCTCGTTATCGGTAGTGTTCATGCTGTCAAAGAAGCGTATCAGGCACTAAAGGAAGGGTGAGTAGTCTGACATTGACAAAATACTTAATGTGCCCGTACTTAGGTTCGCTGTTCTCATGCACACGAAACAATTTTGTACGCGTTTTGTTGACAGAATGTGCCCCCTCCCCTGCATGTCATTGGTCCAGGTATTTTCCAGGAAGCGCTATCATTTGGCTCTTGGGTGCGAGCTCTTTAAACAAATGACACGATGATTAACGTAGAGTTTATGTCCACCTTAATGTTGGTTTTCAGATATCAAAAGTCCCAAGCCTTTGTCATGAAACTGTTTGGGCCCAAGGCTCACGAGAGATTCCCAAGGAAATTCCGTGAACCGGGATCCGGGGCGTGCGCGTCAGGAGGTTTCTACCCAACGGACTCAGCTGGACACTATGAGAATCAAGGTGTGGATCTGGAAATACTACCTGGAGCAAAGGTTAGTATGTCATTCTCTGCCCGTTTATTGTGGCTTTTGTGTGGGCTTTGTACTAATACTGCGAAGAAGTAAATAGCCATATTAAAAAATTGCCATATTTAAGACAGTGTCAGCAGTAGCGTAAACTCGTGTCGTCGAGTGGAAGAATGGTCATACCCCCAAAGCCGGGGGGTGCACACCACGTTGTGATGCAAACTTTCTGTTGGGAGGGAGATGTACACCAAATGACATTAGTTCATGAAACAAATGTGCATTTATATAAACTTGCTCACTTAAGGTTATATAAGACGGGTGCATTCAGTCTCTTGGGATTTTTTTTTCAGAACTATTCCATATATATATATTTTCCTATAGGTTTTCCCGGCTATTTATGAACCTTTATCATTCGAATTCACCGATTCTAATATTCAAATCCGTCCATAATCATCAATTTAGTGCACTTCAATTTTTAATTCCGTCTTTTGTCAGACAAAATCCCCCCGCGGGATTTACGCCCCTCCAAATGCATCAATCTCCTTAGCCAGTGAAATAACGGCATTTTCGCCCACGTTTGCTCAGGCGGCAAGGTCTCAGATGCACTACCGGGAGCACATGGCACCTGCCCTCTTCACAGTCTATCTCACTGCAGACCTCACCAACATCTCGCTGATTTTGTCATTATCAGCACCAGAATAAAGAAACAATTAACCTCGTCTGGCTCAAGGCCAAAACCAGATTCCATATTCTCTTTGTCCGTGAGCTGCTGTATACTGACGACACAGTTTTTGTTTCCCACATCCACGCTTACCTGCAGAAGATCATTGACATCTTCGCCCGTATAGCCAGTGACCTGGGTCTCTCTATTAATGCAAAAAAGCTCATATAGTTTTCACCTCTTCCCCCACTCAACACCATACCTCAAGTCCTGCTCAACGGAACGCCTCTAGCCAAGGTTGACAGCTGTGCTTTATCTCGGAAGCAGAGAGCGACGCTCGACTTAATCCACTAAGTGTAAAGTTTACCGAGTAGTTGATTTGCCAGCCTTCCCTGCACCGTAGAGACTTGTACTCTCTCGTACTCAGTCAGGCTTAGATCCGGCATCTTTGTTTTATCCTTAGCATGAGCTGGCGATCAGGATCCCTAATTCCATGGTTTTGCGACTGGCTGGCATGCTCATGTCACCAAAATGCTTGAGGGGTGTCATTTCAGACGAACCGCGGCAATGTTGTAACGATGGACGATTCCAGACTCCCCAAAGCCGTATTTTATACAGAGCTCCTAATGGGTGATAGACCTTGTGGCCCGCCCAAGCTTCACTTCAAGGACACACTGATAACGCAACTTAAAAACATGCCTCATCGACATCGACATCCAGGGCACCCAGGGAGAACAGTTCTTATAGAGTAACTGATGGGGCTACCCTGGTAAAATAAAACGATAAATTAAAAAGATAATAAACAAAAATTAATAAAAAATAAACGTCACCACCCGGGAGGACGCTCCCAGTGGAAAAAGAACATCCTCACTGGTACAGCTGTCTCCCAGGCTTCACTCTTCACTGCGGTTGCAGACACTCGCAGCCGACGTAATGCTTTTTCCAAAGCCGTCGACGATGCTAACCTGGTGTGCGGAATATCCGGTCATGTTTATCGCGCTCACATATGTCTTTTTCCCCTTCAGGAAGCCTTGGGATGACCTGATCGACATCGACCGGCTGCCACGACGACAACGACAGAGGGCAGATGCCCGGACAAGGAACCCTGTCTTACCTTTTAGCACGAATTGACTGTCGGGAAATATGTCATTCCCCCCAAACAAAAGTAGTCTTGCACATTCCTAATACATCATTGATCCTACATTATTTATAACCGGAGCATTTGTTCCTTTTTTGTCAAGTTGGTGGCACCATATTCAGGCGTCCTTTACAAGAGTGCTGGTAAGCCCAACCAGGTTACTCTGCAGGCTGGTGGTGGGGCCTTCCGCGACATCAAGATCATCATTGACAACGTTGAGCCCAATAGGACCATCTCCAAAACTGAAGGAGTTCATGTAAGTGGAAATCAGCTTAACTGGGTTTTGCTTAAACTGCATTTTGATTTCATGATTATCAAGTTCATTTCTTTTCATTTTGTATGATTCATCTGATGAGTCAAATTTGTAACAGGCATATTATCTATAGCCATACTTTGTAAAGATTAATCAGATGCGGTGTGTTTGCTAAACATCTTATTATACATACATGTATGATACCGCATTGTTAATTCAAAAAGCATTTTAAAGGGAAAATCAAACGTTGAAAATGCTGAACAGGCACTCCGATAATAAAATCTAGATTAAAGAGGTAATTAGTTCGAGTCATCCATATCGCCGGCCGTTTGGAGCCATTTGTGTTTGGCGAAGTAATGAGATTATGTCCTTTGCATAATTTAAACGTTGTCTTCAAAAAAAGCATATTGAAAGAACAGTTTGCATTAAAGCAATCATTAATTAGCATGTTATTTCAACATATTGTATGCATTGACCTTTTGGTACCATAATGGGAGTATAATACGTGCCATACCTGCGTTTTCTGATCCCACTTTGCCAGTACTATACCTCAGGCAGGGTTTAATGGTGCGCAGTGCAATCTTGAAGGTGAAGTCTCCGGTTTCTGGTATGGAGCTTGCCCAAAAAGTGGTGCGGCGACGCGGCTTTTTTTTTTTTTTTACCTGATTTTTTTGCTTCAAATGTCGGCTGGTGACTGCAAATGGTGCCCGACTAAACTTAGTACAAATATATGGGAGTCCAGAGAGGCCACATAAAGCTTATTCTCGACCATAACCCAATCTAAAAATACGTTCAAATTGTGCAGCAGCAGGATTCCAGTCAAACCAGTGAGTTTGGCGGTTTTAAGATATAATCTTTCATTGAAAAAAAAACGTTTTCATTTTGCCGACGCGCATGGCTACGGCGACGCGCGCATACCAGAAACCAGAGACTTTTTTTTGGCCTAAGGTAAGCATTTTGAGGGATCCACACCAGGGGCTAATCCAAGTTTGAATCGAGAGAGAAATTTAGGTGCGAATAATGCAATATTTCATGAGCCATTTGGTTCTTCTCATCAAAGGTAATAGCTGGAACTGTTATTGGCACAGTCGGTTTTTCCGCAACATGTAGACCTTCAAACTACATCCATCTTTCAATGAAGAAATCCAAACCCAACCGCCTGGCGTCCCTTCTAGACGGCGTCCTGGATGACGATGTTTCAGCTGCTGACCTAGCTGCCAAGGATGGATACGTGGATCCTGGCAACTACCTTGGGAAGAGACTTCTGAAAACACCCAAGTGGACACAAGTCTGTGACGATTTCAAAATTGTTTGGTTGGTAAGTCTGAAAAACTGTTCGAGCACAGATCACTGCACATTACGGAGGCATTGTCCTGGTTAGTGAACGAAGCAAAACAATGTCCGGTAAAACGCATTCACCATCGAAAAGGGCCTCTGTACAGTCATGGCGTTACGAACGCCACACTTGCATAATATGCTGCAGTAAATTCAAGGCTGTGTCTCCTCAGTGTGCATTCAATCAGTGTGTATTCAACCCCATGTGCATTCAAACACTGCTAACCGCAGCGTCTGTCGCAGACATTATTACCAAAGACTGATACTAGGACATACGAAGTTAGTGGATTCGAGACCTATGAAACCTTTCAAAATCCTACCAAAATAAATGTTTTCTTTTTTAAAAGGTAAAGCATTGAGAGTCTTTGCTCGTATCTGATCATGGACTTCACTGAAATGGACTACCCTTGAAACAAATGACAGTCAATAAAAAGGGGATAAACCTGATGTTCCGTTCTAGACTATACGTATTTTTGTAGGTCTTTTTAGAGGCATGAAAAGGATCTCGACCACATCACTGATTTTTTACCACTGTACATAGGGAATGGTAGTGAAGGAAGGTACCGTGCTTGGAAATAATAAAGACGGAGAGACGAAGGACACCAGCCCTGAGCGCGAACCTCCCCCTGACACCACTACCGATAGACCTGACCCTACCAAACTACCACCAAAGCGAACGCCCTCTTTTGGTCTAGTAATGTCACCAGGTAATTGAAACATTTTCCTCATGTGTACGTACACGAAGAAAGGTTTTCAAATATTGCCTCCGTATAAATAACACTATCAGAGGCGTAGCCAGCAGGGGGGGGGGGGGGGGGGAGGGTGTTGGTAAGGGGGCATTTACACAAGCCCCAATATCTTGTGAACGGTGCCTTTTTTTCACAAATGCCACTTTTTAACGAGCACCCTTTTTAAAGAGTGCCCTTTGGAATGTTGTGGTAACGTCGGCAACTGTGTTTCCATGAAAAGTGCCACATATTTGTCCCTTAGTGGCCATGATTGTCCAGTTAGAACAGCGTCCCCATAGGAAGATGGTGTGCCCCCCCCCCCCCCCCCCCCCCCCCCCTCGCTGATGATTGGTGAAAATCTCTCATGACGGATGGGCGAGTGCCCTTTTTCAAGTCTACTCCCTAGTAAAATGATCTTGTTACGAATTGGAATATTGGTATTGCTTTGTAAAGATTTAGAAAAGGTAAGTTTTATAGAACTAGCTCATTTGCATAGGCCATTTTGCCCCGTTGCATAAAGATCGCTGTGTAAACGCGAAAGTAACAGGGCGGTTAATAATGTATCAGCTTGAATTAATTCGTCACCGACACCACGAAGTAACACTCTACCGTGTTAAAGCATATTTTTTTCGATTTTCATTTTTTTTTTATTTTTTAACATTATTCATCAAGGCCTTCCATTGCACGAAGTTTCAAAGCTTCAAGAGCGTTACTTTAATAATTACGCTAAATATCCATGGCAACTTTTGCGCAAAAGTGACAATTTCCGTTTTCACGAAGTAACACTCAAGTTCCATTTTCAATTGCAATGCATGGCGCGCACTCTGCTCATAAGTGAGCAAAAACGTTTTCACGAGTAACACTCTTCTTGTAACAAGTTGACCTGAAGTTGCACTTTCCTCGTGTTAAATACATTGAAGAGTGTTACTTCGTGAAAACGAAAATTTACAGTTTCGCAGCTTTTTCGGTTTCACGAACTAACACTCATCTTTTTTCTCTTATTTCTTGTTTATTTCATACACAATCGAGTGAAAAACAGCATAAATTCAATTCATCAAGTGTTCACAACGAGAAACCCAACTGAAAATACTCTGTTGTTTTGACGCAAAGTGTTGTTTTAGAAGCCGTTCAACTTTAGTTGCCGTTTTCTCCGATTGCTAGTTTTTACTGGTATGTAGATGGGTGTTACTTCGTGGTGTCGGTGACGAATTGTTGTCATTCATAAACACTTTTTCACTTTTGGCGAAGACAACACTCAACAAACCAGAGAAGCACTGGGCTTTCCCGAGCCAAAACTTGCCTCGGGGTCTCCGTTTAAGAACTTCACTCTGAGGAACCTGAAGATTGGATCCATCCTGGCATTTGCCCGTAAGCTTGGACTGGAGGAAACAGCAGACGCGTTGTTGACTCTAGTCAAGACCATTGTTGTAAGTTCGATGACAAATATTAGTTAAACTGGCCCCTAACCCCCTCCCACTCCTAAAAAGGGGAAAGTAAACCGTTATTGCACCCGTTCATTCAATTCTCTTCTGGAGTGTATTTTTTACTACAAATATTATCAAAATGTATTGATTTGTGCAAAATTAAGTCAGTGTTTCAGATAATTGCACATCACAAATGAGCTGTCAAATTCAAAATGTAACCGTACAACCATACAATTATTTTTTAGCAATACCTTTAGCATACAAAGCTGTATTATATAAGTCATAAACAAGTTCTGAAGTTTAGATTTTGACTTGTCTTTTTGAACTGCAGAAACTTGTTGGTGACAAGCCGTGCGTTCTACCCGAGTCTTTATCCAATGATATGTTGCGAATTGAGCTGCAACAGCGTGGTCTAAGCTCACAAGGAGATAGACAGACCTTACTCAAGCGATACAGGCAACCTGAGGATCGTAAGTGTGGATTGATCCGGTGGTGGTCTGTGTCTAAATCTTTGTTTGATGGTTATGTTTGTTGTTCCTGAGTAATTACTCTTTGATTGTTGATTTTGAAATTAAACCCCAAAAAAACGATTGCAGAGCGAGGTTGGAACCTGCATCCTGCTTGAGGTTTATATGTATTTGGGGTGTTTTTTGTGTGTACTTTTACCTGTACCGGTATTTATTTGCTCTATTTTGGTAGCGTTGCGATTTGTCAGCGTGTACTTTCCCAATAGATACACCGACGTATTGTCATCAAAATAATGTTTACATTACAGTGGCTTTACTTATAGGAGCCCATTCAAAAAATGCCCCGCAAATGAGCCAGTTCGGTATGCCAAGCATGTGCACATCAAGTTTGACGATTTTTCTTTTGGGATAAACATTTCTTCTTATGCGTGCAAAAGCATAGCAGGGTACCAGCAAAATGGAAGAGACCGTTGTGTTCTGAAGTAACAGTTTGCAGAAGAAAAAAAAACGTTTGGACACCAAAGTGTTTTAGGTGTTTGTGTGTCCAAACTTTTGTGCGAACAAAAGTTTCCATCTCTTTTCGATTGCACGAAAAATTACACAGGATGCGGATTCGGTTACCACGTCCCCCATAGCCTTGTGTGCATTTATCTGCCGCGTTTATCCCGAGATTGTCGAATCTTGTTGTGCACCAGACTATTTTGGAATAAAGAACTGACTTATTAATTACCAAAAAATAGTTTTTGTTTTTCCTTTGTTAAGGCTGCCTTCTGCTTCAAGTTTCCCTGCCCAAGAATGTGTACTGTAAGATAGACAAGAGTTGCCTGGGTGTGGAGTGTTGTATGAACGTCAAACTCTTCATGGTGTCCTTTGCCTTCAAGGCATTCATGCGCTTTGACCCTTGCGAGTTTCAGTTTGTACTCGGTGTCAATTCTTGGAACTACACCATGCACATTCTAGATTCCGAATTTGGTAAGTTGAGTTGTCACTGTTTCATGTTCATATCAATTAAGACATTTGTAGAGAAGGAGAAAAGGGGGAATATGACAAATTAGGAAAAAGAATATTAAAATGAATTTTATATTTTTAAATGTATAGATTACACGTTTTCTATGTAAGTTTTAGACTGTTCTTTGGTTTTATTGTTAATTCCGAGTTAAAATTTGCAGCTAAAAATATATTCACTTTTAGTGCAGTGTTAATTTATGATAATTTTCTCTAGGCAAGGAATTGAATTTTCCAGTGCCCTTTGACATTCCGTTTGCTGATGACATGGAGCTGTCTCTGAGGTATACATTCTTTTTTATTTTTTAATTATGATGTAAAGTGTCATTAAAAAAAATTCCCATCTTTGGGAAAATATTAATACATAATCAAAGAAAACAAATATCTTTTTAGTGTCGTTATTTGACTTTTTTTCTCAAACTAGGATACCGACTGAAAAGTCCCTGGTCACATCCTGGTTTTACTTGGCCCGATATTTTGCAGGGTCAAAACAGTGACACTTACGTTGGTTAAATGACCCTTTTGCCATGATAAGTGGGTCCCAACGAACTGGAAAGTGATGTCGGGAAGTGTTTTTTCCCCAGAGAAGTGGCTTTCTTACCCTGAAAGTCTCGAGCCAAAAAGAACAATGAATTCCGGGTGAATCTGACAAACCGTGCACGAAGGGTATCTACAGTGTCCCTGTACCCCCAGACACACTCCAGACTATTGTTACCTAACGCATCGCCCTATACGAAGATATCTCAAAAGACCCTGTGAACACAATGACCAACACAAAAGCAGCGGTCCCCTCCGTTGCATGCCTTGCTTCAAATAGGGACATTTTAGAGTGTGCGTTTATCTGGAATTCGGCTGGATTGTTTTGAATAAGATTATGACGACCATTTTTTTTCGAATCAAATGTACGTGATCTAGAAGGTTGTCACCAAAGAGTGCCTTTGTTTTAAGGTTAATAATGTATTACGAACAATAGATGTACAGGAAGTGGGATTGCCTCCTTCTTTATCCTTATTGTACTTTTGTTGTCACTCAGATTCACCATTGAAAAGAGCAGGACTCAATTACTAGTCAGCATGTCTGTTGCCATCTGCCCAAAGACTGGAGATGCGGCCTGTTTGACATCTATCCACGTGTTGAAAGATTCTGCTGTCCCTGTGCCCTTTTGCCATCCCGATGGAACCATCACGTGGCCAGAAAGTAAGCAGGAACCAAATGAAATCCTAATAAATTGTAAACTTTGCGCAGGCCCACCGTTATCGAATGATTACAGCTGTATTTCTATAAAATGAACATTACTTAGTCGTCTTCAAGTCATATTTATCTTAATTTAATGAACATTCAACAACACGGGCATCCGCAGGGGAGTCAATGGGGTGGAGTGGGCAAATTCCCCCCCCCCCCCCCCCACCCTTGAAAAAAAGATAAATTGAGAATACCTAGAGAAAGTACAGGGATTGTTTTGGAAATAATGTGCTTTGCCCCCCCTAGAAAAATCCTGGCGTCGCCCATGGTCGTCTTCTCAAAGGCCGAATTAGAAATATAGATGAATGAGTCGGTCAAAAAACACCACAAGTTCTCAAGTCATGAAAATGGGCCACGACAAAGGCATTTGTTATCATTGTTCATCTCCTTTTATTTGTGACCTGACTTCTGATTCTACTTGTGATTGACTCGTGACTAGATAACAACTCTGAATAAATGTTCTCAGTTTATTACACACAAAAAACACTGGCTATGAAATACAAACAACGCCATCTTGTACAATGTTGCATTGCAGTTGACATTGGGGAGTATTTTAATCGTGCAACTATGAGGAAGCTACTCAAAGATACTGGAGAGGAGTTACTGCAAGCAGGTATTGAGGTTGCGTTGAACTTCGTCCTGAATGATCTTGGCATTCCAAAGGTAAGTCACATGGTGGTGGAGGGTCATAATCAAATCAAGCATCGGATTGATTACCGATTGACAAACTAATTAAGACTATTGTCCACAAAATTACAGCGTGTCTCAAAAATGTAGAAGTTAAACAACTTGTTTTTTTTCTGAGGAAACAAAATGTCTTTTTTTAAACTAGTTACCATAACATGTCAGTGTTTTTTATGCTTGACGACATGATTTTTATTCTGTGTGATTTGTATCCTTTGTTTGAAAGTTTATTACGACAAAGCTTGTAAAGACTGTCAAAATCTGTTTGGGCAACTTTCTTATTGTTCACAACACCTTCTTGGTTTGTGAATGCCTTTCATTAGAGACCAGATAATTTAAAAGTGGCCCAAATGGGATAAAGTTTATAGACAGATGTGAACGCAAGGCTCAATATATTATGGTGTCACTGAGCTTACAGTGCACTAAAAGTTCCAGAATCAAAAGCAGCTGCAATAAGCTTACAGTGGTGTTTTGCTTTTTACAGCCAATGTTAGATTTTAAGATACATTAATAAAACACACTTTATCGTTTCAAACTTCAAGACAAGCTACAGGCCTAAATAACTGTAGTACCGAATTTGCAGGAATTTCTTAGTGATAAGGAACCATGCCTAGCGCCAACCAGCATGAGTCATCTACAGTTGATTGCTGCTCTGGAGGAGAGGCAACTTGCAATCACGGGAACTAGAATGGAGTTGGAAGCCAGGCTGTCTCAGGATGATAGAAGTGAGTAAAAAAGAAATACAACATGTACTGCCTTTTTTTGGAAATGTTGACCCTTTCGGTTGTCAGAATGTGCTCCTAACTAAACTAATTGGAATAGCTCCGGAACGCTTTGGCCGATCGGCGTGAAATCTGATGACTTGTCGTAACTTTCACAGGGGCTCTATATAGTACCAAAACACGATGTCTACGGTATGCATTGTTATCATAACTACCGACTAAAAAGCATAATAATCGTAAAATGTTATATTTTTATACAAAAACATGGAAATATTCATGTATTGAGTCAAAACAATGTTTTCTGTGCCCGAACCTATCTAAAAATCTACTTGTACTAAAATTCACGGTCAAGTGACCAACTTCAATGCATACTGGGAATCCAGCGTGGCCACTATTCGCGGGAAAAGCCTTAACAGCCTCTGTTTTTTGCGGTTATTTTTTTCTAATTTGTTGCATTAAAAATTACAAAAGTTTATAACATTCCAATAATAGTGCAAATTTAGGTTTGAGCCACACATTCTAATTTTTGGGTCAAAATCACACAAAAAATTGATGATTTTGCCCATTTCCAGTCTAGCCTGGCAAAGTGAGTAATACGGTGGAAGTACATGTACTGTTCATGTACAAGTGAATTGGACTTAGAAAAAACGGGAACCTCGCTTAACTCGAACTCTGGATACCTTTATCCATTACCTTGAGGTTTGAGTTATTGGGATTTTACTGCGTTTGAAAAACAAAGCAAAAAGGAAAAAAGTGTACTGTTAAAAATTTTAACGGAAAAAAACACAATCAAAACTGTTTTTAAACTATAAGTTTTTCGTTTTATTGTATTTGAAAGGGCAGGACAGGAGACTGGTGACAAGTCTATGATTGGTTGATTTGCTCTCCTTTATTTACTGATTGCTCTCAAAATTACAATGATGAAGATAGTAGTTGAGCTGATTAGGCTGATTTACTGATGAAAACTGAGTTGATTTACTGATGAAGAATGAGCCGTGGAATGGGGGTTGTGTAAGCCGTGTGGTAGGCCGTGGTTCTACAAGAAAACCAAATGAATACAAAAATAAATATTGGAACCTACATATGAAGTGACATGAAAAACACATGAAAATGGACTACGTTACATGCAATAAATTTAACAAGTATCAACTAAATTATCTAACAAACTGAGAGATTGGATAAGCTACTATAAGCCCCAAATTACACTAAATTAACCAGCAATAAAATTAAATACGAGGGCATAATCTTTAGTTAAAGATCAATAAATTGTGCGTACATGTACCCATGTGATAACAACATGTCATGAAACCCACGTTTTTTATGCATTACAAACCCCCACAAAATATCTCTTAAATCATCTATAAATGTACTCACTTTTAGCTTCTACGCACGGCCGCTGATGGACAGCATACAGATGATTAGGAAAATTGGGTTTAACCTGGGATTTTACGTTTGATTGAAGGAATAATTGAGAGATTTATCGGAATGATTTCAGGACAAATGTGACTCAAATTGGAATCACGTTGGAATTTTCTAGATTCATAATCACAAGAGGGCACTATACCAGTTAAACGCTCAGACATTTTCGTACAGTAATCTTAAATTGTGTTTGAAAATATAACAACCGTTTAAACTAACTTTAAGCAGTCAAAAGAGAGCCGGATTCTCAAAGATAACAAAATGGCGTTTTTTTGCGAAAAAGAAATAAAATGTTAACTGAATTAATTCAGAAGCCCCTAAAATACCCCTCCATCACCAAAGACCCTAAAACGTATCCTTTTTTTTTACAACGTCTTGTTGTTGATTTGCGCAGGTTGTCAGTTCTCCACATTGCCAGTTTTCCCCCCAGAGCTGGCCAAGGTGGCCTACTGCTCCCTGAGTGAGAACTGCCTCCGTCTAGACTGCTGTCTGGAACTCAACATTAAGAAACTGAAATTCCGCCGCTCCTTCAAAGCCTTTGTGGAAGTTGACGCATGTGATTTCACATTCTACATCGCATTTCAGCACTTGCAGTACAAGAAATTGCTGTTGAGCTACGAATGGGGTGAGTCAAGGTCGTTTTGACGAAAAAAAAAATATGTATACACGGATGCACCCAAGTGTGTTTTTGCCTGTAATCTAGGACCCTATAGTGTCCCTCTTTTGTTTGTACTCAAACTTTTTGGGAAAACCTCCCATATGATTTTTACACGATCTTCAATTGGGGACCTTCGGGAATTTGGGACCCTATTGTCCTCTATTGTACAACGTCTCCTTTTGTTAGCAAAAGCTACTCACGTACATGCCCCCACACGCACACGGTGTTTTTTTGCATCCAAGCTACACGGCAATATGATTATAGAGGTCGCTGTTCGTATGGGGCGCAACAGGGACTAATACATCCTGCAACTCTGTGCGTCCTACGAACCTCTAAAACCGGGTAATCGCCTAGTTAGTTTCAAAGACGTATACACACTGTTGGTTAAGTGGCCTACGAGCTTCAAAATGCTACAGGTGTCTGACAAGGCTTAAACCAGATTCAGATTATCTTAGTGTTACCGAGAGTACACATGAAAAATAAGAAATTAATTAATCATACCCCGTCTATGTAAACAGGAAAATCGCAGCAGCAAAGCATCGGTCCTATCACCCTTAAGTACTCCATCAACAAACTGGACGCTGAGAAGGTGTTTGAGGTAGACTTTGGGGCATCTATCTGTCAAGGCGCCGATGATTGCATCTTTGATGTGGACATCATCCAGGACTACAGAGTTCCTATTCCATTCTGCAACTCAAACTTCTCATTCGCCCTTCCTGGTAACAGATTCAAATAATAAGGATACGACATGTCCATCCGATTTTCAAATAGGTTTAATGTGTTGAACCATGTAATGCTATATACATACGGGTTTTTATTTATTTAAGGGGCAATATTGATTAATTTAAGATGAAGTTTTAAATAATGTTATTAAGGATTTGATAAATATTGGGTTTTTGTAATGCTTCTTAGAGTAAGTGGATAGCTTGCGGGTCATCGTAGTCACAACATCAGGCAGGACTTTGCTATTAATGGGGCTATAAAGTTCCCCTTGTATGTCGTGAACAAATGCCTGGAATGGGCCTGTTTTCGTTTAATAATTGGGTTATATATATTAGCTGCTTTACCAGTCTCATTTCCACGATACTGTTGTTTCTATCTTTTTGTCTTTGTAGGAGGGAATAACTTGAGGGACTTTCTTGATCAGGTTGGCCGGAATGCTGGACAGGAAGTCGTCAACGTTTTTCTGGAGTTCATTGGTCTTCGAGATAAGATCAACGATGGACAGTGTGACACAGGCGCACTTGTTTCAGTGGATGAGGAAGGTAATATGTTTGTAATGTTTTGCTTGTGTTTATCTTTTATTTTTTTGGCAGAGGAAATTAAAACTTAGTTGACGCTAGTTGTCTAGTGGCTAGTTAGTTTCATTTTGATCAGTTTCACCTTTGCAGCAATGCTGCATCCCCATTCCTATTACTTAAAGAGTGTTTTAATTGACATCGATTTTTGAATGAACTTTGTTTTAGTTTGTTAATCAATTTAACGCTTTATAATGAAGGGATTATTATAGTGTCGACTAGGGGGTTTGCGTCACACTGGCTTTGTGACAAACAGTCTCTGTCTGTCATCCTGAAATGCTTGAACTGTAAAAAAATAAGCTGTAAGGGGATATGCAACAACCTCGTCCCCAGGGTGTCGGGCAGGACGCGCCCACCACTAACTGCTCTCATCCTGTATTGGATCATTTTCATGTCCAAAATTTTTTGGACACGTATGTAAATTAGGAATAGTCTGGTGTGCCTGCCTGTGCTGTACGTTAGCGTTTGCTTTTGTAAGCGGTGTCTGGGCTAAAATAGAATCAAATTAAAGTTACGTAAACCCTTTTATGTTGAAACTTTAATTGTTATAATCTTCTCCAGCCAATATGCAGTATATACATTTCATATAAATAAATAAATTCGAAAGAAAGATTATTTTTTTATAATATGTGGACGTACTAATTAAATTGAACGTGAAAACACGTGATGCACGTTGGAAATAACACCAAGTACACGATATATATCAATTACTTACCAATTTGCGGTATCGAATCAGGACACATGAAGCAAGTATTTCCTATCCAGGGCTTGCTATTGTAAAAGAGGTGGAAAATAAAGTTAGCCCTGGGGACGAGGTTTGAATCTGCTGTGGATTGAAAAAAAAAAGTTGTGACAGGATGCTACGGGGATTACGTCCGCCCAATTGTGAAGGAAGGTCACTGTAGAGCGTTTCAGTTTGTGAAAAGAGATGTCCACACTCAAAGGACCTTGTTTGTGTATAGGGGTTTAAGAATCTGTTTTAGAAGTGCATGTAAAACCAACAACAGAGAATCCAAAGGACAGTGGTGCCTCCGGTGACCTAGCAAAGTGATATTGGTCCAGTGGTTGAGGGTTTTGCCCAAAAATACTGGAAATGAAATTAAAGTTTCAATTACAAAAAATATATTGTGCTGAAAAGCAATTCTTTTGAGTGAGGCAAATGTGCGTCTATATTGATAAACGGCTGATGTCTATATGAGTAAACAAAGCCAGATACTTTGCTAAGGGTACTTTGTTAAGATACTTTTTATAAGAGCGCAACAACATTTTAATTTCATGTACATTTTGTTTGAAGTAGATATAGCCACAGTCATTTAATTTGGCTGATTGAATCTGCCCTTTCCTTGATTTGTGCGATTTTTCATGCTCTTTAGTGTGCACTGAAGTAAGCCTGCAGTCGCTGCCCACTGGAATAACATGTGAGCTTTCACCTCGATGCCTGGGAGTTCGATGCTGTGCCGAACTCGATCTGAAAATCACTGTATTATCAGTCAACATGTGGCTGATTATCGATCCGTGTGAGTTCACGCTGTCAATGGGATTTGGAAATGGTCTTGACGTTCACCATATTTGACTACCACTGGGGTAAGTGCAACATAGAAAGTGCTTGATGTCGATGTCGGTATCAATGATGTAAAAGGGAATATACAACATTTGCTTTTGCTGTAATTTTCAGAAATGAATGGATTGGAGGGTAGTATTTCATAGGAATAGTGTTACACTGACTTGCTTGAAGTTTTGTGTTCGTAGGTGCTTGAAAAACCAAGAAAAACAACCATGTTCCTGGAGTCTGGTTCCCTGACCCACTGAAGATGAAACAGAGCAATTTATAGTCGTCAGGGAATTGTAAGGTTGGGGAAACAGTCTAGTTGGCTTGTACCCGTTCATAGGTGTGTAATCAATTGCAAACAAATGCAACCTAACTAAAGAATGGTAATTTGGGGGCGAATTTGAAAAAAGCCAGTTTTTTCCAAGCTTTACACTGTCATTCACTAAAAGTCCAGTAAGGTAATTTAACATAATTTGGAAGTTTTGTTTGTTGATGTTTTCAAATGTTGTATATTCCCTTAATTGCTCTGAATGACAATAATTGGAAAATAGTCTCTTTACTTTCAGGCTTTCAATTCAATAAAAATTAGCATTCCACAATTCAAGGCGAGAAATAATCCTTTTTTATTGTCTGCGATTGATAACTTGACGAAAAATATATTTTAAAATGTGACGAAAGGCTTTTACGTTCACTTGATTTGATTCTGTGTAATTTCCTTATAATGCGGTACTTTTACCAGGTACCCAGGAGAGCTGAAGATTGGCAAAGCCGTGACACTTATCTACACCATTGACAAGCTGACTGAGGACAAGGTGTTTTGTATTGGACCTAGCACTGTCCCTGTGCCTGCCAGACTTAGACTTCGACTTGCCCTCCATTGACATTCTAAAGAGGACCCGAGTGCCAATACCACTCTGCACCAGAATGCTACATTGCCAGGTATTCCTTCAAAATGCCTTTGAGTCCAAATCTATGGGATTACCTGTTAAAACTGGAGCATACAATAAACGACAGGCAAATGGCAATTATTACCTTTTAACGAAGTTTTGCGATTTTTAGTGGTTTGAATCTTTCTTAAATATATGCCTATGGATGTTAAACTTAAGAGAAAGATCCTACAGACAAGATTATCTTTCTCAAACGCCCTTCTTTAAAAACGAATTTGGGGTTTGCCAGGGGACTTTCGCGGCATAAACAGTTGTAGTGCGTACATTTTGGTCTGTCCTTGTTGAAATGCATCGAGAATAATTTGTATCCATCTACAGGAAATGGAACTGTTAGAGGCTTCTTGCAGATGGTCGGTCGGAATGCGGCAGACTCGGCCGTGGATGCCATTCTGGAACATCTAGGATTATCTGTGAGTCATTTCTGTCAATAGTAACCACAAATTTGATGATTTTAAGTGATCAATTGCGATTTGACGAATGGGTTTATTTAGAGTAATGTGGATTGTCATTTCAAAATTGTCCTTGCGTTGTGGTTTACCTGTTCCAGGAATACATCAGTCGAGTGCCATGCGTCCGTCCACAAGTAACACAAGATGGTTGGAACAGAAGTACGGTCGAATATATAATAGAAAATATATATGTATTGTACACATAATTTTACCTTATTGCTGGTCTCGCAGATGATAAATTCTACTTAATTGACAGCCTCCTGAAGAAAAGAGGAAAGATATCTAACTGTTGATATAATAATAAAGGTCCGGGAACTCTGAAACCTGCTTGTCATGCGCTGGGTCTTGGTTTCCAGTCGTTGTTTTGCTTTAATTCTCTAAACGTGTACTAAAGTAATTTATCTGTGTATAGTTTTGTCCAAGAGATGTCAGACTACCCCGCCCTTCCAGGAACCTGATCTGCACACTACTGGAGAAGTGTCTAGGGTTCGATTGCTGTCTGGAGCTTCCCATTCCCGGATCACTCCCGTCAGTACCAAGTTGCGTTCATCTTTGATCCTTGTAACTATCGGCTGTCGATGAGTCTTGGAAGCTGGAGCCGGGATCTGAATATCTTCTCCTATCATTGGGGTCAGCGGAAGTGGTCACCATAGGAAGTCGGTCACCTTAAGGTATGCTAAAGGTGGAGTAAACTTTAAGCTGGTCACGCTTTCATACACATCATCATGTTTTGGTCATTAAATTGAATCATGGAAATTAAGACAACTCGTGACCCATAACTCAAAGGGTCGGCCATATTCGGGTGTTTTGGGACGGTAAAAAATTGCATGTACTACCGCGCACACCACTCTTCACCCAAAGCCTTGTGTGCATATTGTTTGTATTAGTATAACAAAAACGGAATCACATATACCCTTAAAGTTACAACAACAAGAAACTTATGCTCAAAACGTACTCAGGGAGTTATGTTTTGCTTGTTGGGCAGCCTTTGCATCATATTCTGAACATAAAATGTCAGGGACACGGTTTGCTTTTTTTTAAGGGGACACAGAAAACGGATGGTAAACAAATTATTTGTCTTTTCTTGTAAATTCTTTACAGCATGGTCATTGACAAATCTGATGCAGAGGAATCCTTCCGGATCAATTTGGGCATCTCCATTTGCATCGACAGTGAGTGTACAACCACATCAGTCCTTCAGGATTTCTTGGTCCCTATCCCGTTCTGTAATCTCAATGCTTCCTTTGAGTTGCCTGGGCGACGGCAGCTTTGGCAGGTCTTGCCCGGGATCTTGCCGGAAACGTTGGGGAGTTGGCCATCCAGGCTGGTCTCCAAAAACTTGGAATACAGGTACTACTTCGATCATAAGTAGGCCTACATCTTGCTTGCAT